TTGTAAAGACGGGGATACACACATTCTTGAAATTAAAAGCAAGATTTGAGCAGAGCCACAAAATGTCTCTTAAGTTAATTTATGTAAATAGCTAAATTGATTGCATGTAATGGTGTGATTAAAACGTCTGGACTCTTGAAGTAATGATGACAAGTTGAATACATGACTCAGGAATAGTTGTGTGTAAAGTAATGTTTTAATTTGAACTTTTCTTTTTCAGATATCGAGATTTCCGGTACCCCCCCGGGCATGCCATGCAGTATGAGTACAATGTCTACTACTGGCATGTGATCGCTGCCAAACTGGCTTTTATAATCGTCATGGAGGTGAGCACAGGAAATGTCTCTGTAACTAGAAAACATTAAAATATGAATAATTTAAACATCGTAATGGAGACCCAACAGCGAACACTGTGTGTGTGTGTGTGTGTGTGTGTGTGTGTGTGTGTGTGTGTGTGTGTGTGTGTGTGTGTGTGTGTGTGTGTGTGTGTGTGTGTGTGTGTGTGTGTGTGTGTGTGTGTGTGTGTGTGTGTGTGTGTGTGTGTGTGTGTGTGTGCGTGCGTGCGTGCGTGCGTGCGTGCGTGCGTGCGTGCATGTGCGTGCGTGCGATGCGTCCGTCCGTCCGTCCGTCCGATCCGTCCGTCCAGTCCGTCCGTCCGTCCGGTCCGTCCGGTCCGTCGGTCCGTCCGTCCGTCCGTCCGTCCGGTCCGTCCCGTCCGTCTGTCTGTCTGTCTGTCTGTGAGTGAATGCTGCATTTCGTAATAAGTAATTGTTTTGTCTAATTTACTCTTTTACTATATGTTAGTTCTAGTAATTTTATTTTAAAAAATGTTGTTTTCCCCCTCGCAAGCACATTGTTTACCTCACGAATTTTCGTCCTTCCTACGTGATCCCCGACGTCACGTTACAGGTGAAAGAGCAGATCAGACGAGAGAAGACGCTGACCCAGGTCATCCTCCACTAGAGACCAAACCTCAAGCTGGTGACCAGCGTTTGAAAACCCGTGGACGACGACAACGGTCAAGTTTGCGAAGGGTGAAAACCTTGAACGGGGAGGAGATGGAGCCCCTATTGATTCCTCACACTGGACACGTTCTGGAGGAAAGAGAGGTCAAACCTATACTATGTAATACATGAATGAATACACCGTTTTTTTTAGCGCACTGCGAAACGCAATCTGTTTCCTTGTAACCAGTGACAAAATTAGGACATAGAATGGACATTGTGGATGGAGAAATGAATCTGAGGACGATGACCTCCTTGGCACAGATATGAAAAAGGCTTTCTAATTTGCAACTGGTTTACAAGGAAACAGATTGCGTTGAAGTGCTAGAAAAGAAACGGCATGATTCATTCATGTATGTACAGTATGGGTTGATCTCTTCCTCCCAGACGTGATCGACTGTGAGGAACAATCAAGCCTCCATCTCCTCCCCGTCAAGTTCACCTTCGGCAAATTGATCGCTGTGCGTTCGTCACGTGTTTCCAATATCGTTCGTGTTCCAGCTTGAGGTGTCTCGTGGGGAGGATGACTCTGGTGGTCAGGTACTTCATCTCGTCTGATCTGCTCTTTCTATCTTCTCTGTTATCGTGTATTATCGTCGAGATCACGTAGGGGACAGGAGCGCGGCGGGGAGGACTAAACAATGATGCTGCTTGAGGGGGGAAACCAACATTTTTTAAAATAAAATTACTAGACTACATAAGAC